CACACCTCCTTAGCACATCAGTAGGCATGCAATGAACCTCAATAAGCAAAATCGTGCCACAAGACGATAGTTATAGCGCGAGAACAAAACGACGACACAGAGACGAGAAAGACACGAAAGACACGAGCGTTTTGTTCTCGCGCTATAACTATCGTCATGCCATACCAACTAGCCTAAGTTGCCACATGTGCCACAAGACATACTATGGCTGCCTATTATCCGAAAATGCCCCTAGTGCTAGTGCATACTTTTATGGTTATTTAATTACTATGTTTTTATTATTCATCAGGTTTAATTTGTTTTGATTAATTACCCACGCCGAAGCTTTTTTTGTGTCCCTACAAAACAGAAAGTTTTTTTAAAGAGAAGAACTTCAGTTAGGAATGTAGTTTACAAGAGTGGAAAGCTTGGGCTAGTCTGTGTGTAGACATATTGTCAAGTTTGTTCAGCATGCGAACATAGGGGAAACAGCTTCTGCCAACTCTGTCCTTTTTTCCTATGCTCGAACACTGAACAAACTTGCCAGTTTGAGTTAGGAGTGTTCAAATAAGGCCTACTTTTAATAATAATTTCAACTATAAAAAATTCATGAAAATTATGATTTGCTTTGAAATGCCCACATGTGCCTAAAAAAATGCGCTTGATATCACAGACTAATAATCTCTAGTTATTAAAGCTTTAAAAAAAAATTTTTGTCACCTTAAACAACACATTATAGAGGCAGAAAATTTTGGATAGTCGCAATGGAAAGAAAAGCGGCTGTCTTTAACTACTGCGTGTGTGCTAGGGCACTAGCCTAACAATAAGCCGACTGTTTTATGGCCAACATAAGAAAGGTGAACGTATTGGCAATTAAAAAAAAAGATAAATAACTGCTGGAGGATTGGAGGTGCAGAAATAGGCAGAAATGAAAAAAAGAGCAGGAAAACTAACGTTAGTCAGCGATATGTGCACAAGCTTGAGAAGTGCATTTAGAAGTTTTTATAGGATAAGAAGTTTAATTCAGCTGGACGATATTAGGTCATTCATAATGATAATAATGCCAACAAATTCTTGAGTTTGCTTAAGCACAAGTCATCGTCTCGTTAAAAACAGAAATTTTTTCATCTATATACTATACTGCAATCAGAAAAGCTCATACGGTCCCTTATGCATTCACATAAAGTGACTGGAAGGTGAAAGCCATTCAATTTTTTTTATCTCTTTTGATTGTATCAATGCACGGTGCCCTTGAAATAAATGCACCTATTGAGATTTAGCTTGGCCTCATTGATCAGACACACTGCAGGCTTTCTGAACTTCATGCGTCTCCGGGTTCCGCACAGGTATGATCAAGTGACGATTTCATGTGATGACATCGTTTAGAACCACGTTGTATGACGTTACACCCCACATATAAATCAATCAACCACATTGTAATGTCCCAGTTACGACACTACAATGCCTGCATGGCATCTCGTATTCTCCTGATATGTGACGTTACGATGAGGTCATGAGGTGACATCGCTATATCATGGTGATTTTTTTTGCATCCCTCGCGTTGGTGCTGATGGTCACTTTTCCTGTTTGATGAGGCATCTAAGGTTTCTTGCCTTAATAACTGGAACTAACTGCCATATAAATGACCCTCCACACAACAAATGAATGGAAGGCGACAGAGAAATAAAAAAAACCATTCACGAGATAGCAGTAGCACAAGGTAGTATCACATATCTTTTGCCTCTGCCCTATGCTGGTGACATGTGAATGAAGACAGTTCCAATTTTATTCAACGAAAATTTGGGGATCTTTTCAAGACAGTAACCTTCGGAAATGTCGCGTGGATTGTCTACACTTTTACTTGACAACAAGCAAAATAGAAATTACTCTACATTTTCTCAAAAAAATTACATTACGACCCCACTACCCTGTGCAGGCCGAAAAATCTCGAAATTACCCTACGAGTAGGGCAATTACCCTACACTTGGCAACACTGTTGTGCATATTGACAACTTTTGCATAAGGGGCTCATGTATGCAGTATTCTTTATTGTACTAGCCACTTCTAGAGACAGAAGCAGCAGGGCTGTGTTAGGAGGAGTTCCTGCAATATGAGGGCAAAAATATAATTTGCACACACTACAGAGCCCTCATATGAAGACATAACCACTGTAAAATTGTTATTAGAGGGTCCCTACAACACTTTTCCGAGTTAATCATCTAATCCCCTCATTAAGAGAGCTTATTGCCTCAGAAATCGACTGGTACAAAAGTGTTTACAATCTGTCCAGTATGAGCAAAGGTATCAAGGAGGTTTAAAAAAACTTTTGGAGTGGAGGCGGCACACCACTGCTGACACTGATATTACTCCAGGCAGAAAACGTGCGGGTGGTCACTTGGGCCTGGCAGAAGTTCTACAGATGGTGAATTTCTCCACTCCATGACAAGCGAGTGTTCTTGATGTTTAGACCAACATCAAGCACTTCAATATGCAATGAAAAGCTAATGTGCTTCTATCGATTGCGCGAATCACATGAAGCAAAAACCAGGAGTCACTTTTCCTGTGAAAGTACGAAATGAAATATCTTTCAGTTTCTCGCCTCCTGCAGCACACTGTCTCACTTGAGAAGCACGTTTGCAAGTAAAAGTTCTCCATTAGCTAACTTCATTTTTATTCTGGCGAATATAGGCTGAAACAACTTTCCCATGTGTCAAAGTTTCCCTAAAGACAAGACCCAGCGTGATGCATGGCAGCACGCTGTTCGTCTAGACAGCTGGACACCTAAAGATGTGAATGTTCTTCACCCAGAGCACTGAGAAGCTGGTTCCTTTGATAAAATGGGACGAATTACAAAACTTTGACACGGCAGCCTTCCCACCATTTCTCCAGCATTTCCCACACATTAGCAGAAAGTGGCAAGTACCACAAGAAATGTTTGCATTATCGTCATCACTCCAAACAGCTTATGAAGTTCTGAATGCGAGGGGCCATTCTTCAATTCTCTCATATAAATTTAAAATCCTGCCACCATGCCAATATTTAACATAGCATACGTTCCGCTTGTCAGAAGTAAACCGACTCTTCATATGCGTTCATATTAATGGGAACTCAAATGTGCTCACCAAAACCACCAAAAAAATCCCTCTATTTGACCTGTCTCTTTTTTTTTTTACTAGTCACATATTGTATGTGCAAGAACTTAATGAACCTGTGTAGCCAAGATTATGTCAACTCGCCGTGATTTAATTAGGCTGTAATTATCACTGTAAGTTTTTCACACGCTCATGTTGCTTTTAGTTATTGCTTAAAATTCCATTCGCGTGAAAAGTTCACGTTATTATTTTTGCGCTATGGCTGGGATTATGATCTATCTGTATGTGCCTGTAAGTGTGAGGATACATATATTAACCTTAATAAAGGGAATGGAGACAACCGCCCGTTTGTAGCACGAAGCCACAAGGAAATTCATACGAATTTCTCAGAAAGAAAAGCTTCTTAGTTGCCAAAAAATTTGTCCTGATTCGAACTTCGAACCTGGGAACAACACCTTTCCAGGGTGATCACTCTACCAACTGAGCTAACCAGGAAGCTAGCAATTAACAGCACGAGGGCAAATTCCTTGACAACTTCAAGCAAGTGGACACAAATATTGCAAATGAGTTCTCCAGAAACCCGCAAGGCGACGAAAGGGTATGGAGACAACCAGCCGTTTGTAGCACAAAGCCATAAAAATATTCATACGGATTTTTTAAAAAGCTTCTAGGTTGCCGAGAAATTCGTCCTGGTCCGGGGTTTGAACACGGGACCAACACCTTTCTGAGGAGGTCGCTCTACCAATTGAGCTAACCAGGAAGCTAGCAATTGACAGCCCTCCCGAAAGGCCTTGGTCCTGGGTTCGAAGCCCGAACCACAACAAATGTTTTGCAACTAAGAAGCTTTCCTTTCCGAAAAATCCATAAAGATTTCCTAGTAGCTTTGTGCTACAAACGGGTGGTTGTCTCTTTTCCCTTTCTTAACCATTCCGCCACCTTGCGGGTTTCCGCAGAACTCACTTTCAGTATAACCTTACAGCATTACATACTGTATAAAATTTAAGGTCGCGTGTTTTATATGGTTATAGCAGACACCAATAAAACAAAACTCTCTTAAGTGAAATTGCTCCTTCAATGGAACAACTGCCACTAATATGTTTGGTTTGCTACTTGAATACTGTAACCCTATTAATCTCTCAGTAAACGAAACTCCTCTTAAAGGAAACACATTTTCCTGATCTCTTCAGGTTTTGTTTGAAAGGAGTCTACTGTATTTTCATTACTGTCCGCTTTATGGCGGATTTCGAAGTTTTTGCAAGGTATGTAGCTCTTTCTATTCCTGTATAAACACAAATGTGTGTCCTTCACGTATGTGCTCCTTTTCTATCTTTAAACTGTACAGAGCCGTGATTGAACGAAATTTTCTGTGCCATCAGTTGGCTCCACCATGTGCTTAATTTTGGGAATGTTGCAAGCCAATTCTACAGGTCATCACACATGCTTCAGCCATGTATTATTATTGCGTAAGGTGCTGCCTTCTTCAATCTTGCAGGACCAAACAAGGAAATTAGGCCGAGTCAGTTACACTTACTGCCTCGTTCTCATGCTGCAATGCCTCCGTGGAAGCTCACAACTATGCTGCCCATGCTCAAACTGCGTTCTCTTTTGCCTGGAGCAAGACGGCCGCAAGTGGCTTCCCAGTCTTACTCTGTCTTGACTGCTGTAGACGGAAAAAAGTAAACTAAAAGCACCATTAATTAATACTCCTCTCCCCCGAGTCCAGCGAGAGAAGTACTGGCTGACTTTATTTTCCCATGCACTAGAGTAGTCCAGTAATCACACAAATGTTTATACCTATCAGCACTACCTTTTCACATTTGAGTAGGCTCCCCCTTTCTCTCTATAGCAATGACCAAATCGACACACACGAAGGCAAAGCTTGCATCTAATAAACTACAAGTACTGACACAGGTTGCACTTCTATGTTACCTTGCTTCATCCGCAGGCTGTGACGAACCAGCAGGCCCTTCAGATGGAGGTGTAGCGGTTCGCATGGCCTTGAGATCCTATAAGCGTACACCTAGCCTGACTGAAGTTTATGTGCAAAAAAGAGAAAAGAATGCATTACTCGACTAGTTAATTCCACCACTTTCAATCACTTGTAAGCATTAATGAGTCATGCCAATACTGGCCGAGAATATGGGATACAGTGTTTGGTAACCCCATTTGTAAAGCATTGAAGCAAGTAACTTAGCCATGGCTAGCCATGGTTACATTCTCAAAGATCAGCCATGATCAGATTATTAGATAGTAATGGGTCTCCAATGTAATTTTGACCATCTGGGATTTCTTGATGTGCATCTATATCTAAGAATGCCAATTCCTGTAGCATTTCACAACCATTTAAATGCAGCCACAAGTACCCAGATAAAACCCATACCCTTAAGCTTGGAAGCACAACGCCATGGCCCTGGGGCTATAGTGGCGCATGTCAAGGTCATCTCTGAAGGTATAAATATCATGACAATGACAAATGACATCAAGAGCAGCTATAAATTGTGCAAGCCAATCGGAATATTTTTTCTTCTTTTTGTCCAATAACTTGCACTACTCACGGCATTTTAGCCATCTATGACTCTATTTTCGTCCAAAAGCTGCAATCATGAGGTGGCAAGAAACCATACCAAATGCCCTGTTTCCAATACGTAAAGCACGCATAATTTCACTTCAAGTCTTCCATCTGCCATCACTGAGCCAATGAAGCAAATACATCTCAGCGATAACGCTGTGTTTACCCTCATGCAGTGGATAGTTCGACGTACTGTGCATGGTTTCATTGTCTGCTTTACACTTATGACGAAGAAAAAATCATTCCAAGACATTATGCAGCCTTGTGTTGTCTGCTGCATGTGCTCAGTAATGCGAGTGTGGTGCATGCCAAGATTGCATCCCAGCGTTCCACGGTTTGTAGTTGCAACTCATGTACAGATGGCTTTCACTGATATCGAACAGCCATATTGGAGCACCGATATGGTGGGACGTGAACTTTGTGATGAGACATAGTGTTATGAGTACATCGCATGCTAGTTTAATAATAATATCTGGGGTTTTAAGTCCCAAAACTATAATACAATATAGAGAAATGCTGTAGTGGAGGGCTCCAGAAATTCGACCACCTGGCATTCTTAAACGTACACCTAGATCTGAGCACACCGGCCTCAGGCATTTTCACCTCCATCAAAATGTGGCCACCACAACCGGACTTGATCATGGAGCCTGAAAGGTTGATGATGCTGGCTGATCTAGCCTTGCATAATTTGCAGGCAATTGTCCCGCCCGTTTTTTTCTATGCTAAATGTAGCTAATATCCTTTGTTTGTTTTTTAACTAAGCACGAGCAGGATTTTAAAATAAAAATCGTGCATAGCACGACGTAAGCCTGCATAAGACGGCGGCCTTTGTGCTATCCCACTTGCAGTATTATGCCGGTACTCTATCTCACTGCACTATACCCCAAACATAATTGTCACTTATCACCAGTCACATGCGAGGTCTGTAGCAATCAAAATTTTCAAGAGAAGTCGTGACACCTGTTTCCTGCAGATCGAAGAGCCACGCGGAAACACAATATCAGTCACGCTGTCACATGGCGAACCTAACTGTTGCAGTTCCTCAAATAAATCTTGCCGTTCCTTCTTAAGCTCACGACATTTAACCAAATAGTGTTCTATATCACCGTTTTCCTTGCACTTCGAGCACAAGGGCGTCGCGGAGAGTCAGATCTTGTGGAGCCATGCTGGTGTATGCGCTGATCCCGTTCGAATGCGATGAAGCAAGCAGGCTTCTTCCCTTCATAGCCCTTGCGTCACACATGGCTGGTGAGGCGTAGGCCATAACGAGTGAAAATGCTTATTGACAGCCTCTGGTAAGATACACTGATTGTCTTTGGGAGCCTTCTTCGTTGGTGTAAGCTCCAGAGCACTTCGGGCAAGTCTGTCAGCCGCCTCATTACCCGCTTTACCCATATGTGATGGAATCCATTGAAACTTAATGTTTATACCAATGCCATGCAGGTCTTTAAAGATTTGCAGTGATCTTTGAGTGCATCGATCCAAAAGCAATCCATGTTTTAGCCGCTGCAAAGCGGGCTTACTTTCCGAAAACAGCACGACTTGTTGCTGCCTACAAAGCTTCAGTTTCTTAAGGGCTGCCTGAATTGCCATGCTTTCACATGCTGTCGATGAAACAACGCACTCGAGTCGCACTGCCCAGGACGCCTTTAGAGACGGGATCACAAACGCTGCAGCACTTGCTCTGCGCACTATGTCGACTGATCAATTGGTGAAAACTTGCAAATGATCGGTCAGCCTTTCAAATGATCAGCCTTGCGCGACTCTACCACAGCCTGAAAGTCAGCAGTTGAGTCCTATAACCACTAGGCCAGTGTGGTAGGTAACAGAATTCGTTTAACCATGTGCAAATAAAGCTGTGTTCTAATAAAAAATTTAACGCGAGTGTTTGCAACAGATTGCTTTTGTAAGCATAAACATACTTAAGCTAGTCTAGTAGTAGTAGCAGTAGTAGTAATAATAACATCAACAACACCCTGCCAAACTTGTGTGTATGATTACCAGAAACAAAATAACTGCTACAATAAATGTTTACCTTTGGAATCAAGAAGTACATTTGGCCACGTCATGGAACATCATCCTTTTCCTACCTACACTCACCACAGCACACACATTTGCTGTGTTGACAAAAAAAAACATGCTCTTATACAAGGAATGGTTTCAGAGAAAAATGGCAGCAGTTATGATAGCACGCAGAGAAAACTGAAAGGTACTGCACACTCAATACAACTGGCTAGCATGCCTTGGGAGCCCGAAAAACGCCAAGACATACTGATGATCAAAACCTCATTCCGGTGATGAAAAGTGGCTCGTTGTTTGATGTTCACCATAACAAAAGAAAAAAAAGATTTATAAGCCCCACACGTGCAGGGTTGACGATTTGTCATTGGGTTTAAATCTTACAAAATAAACGCAACACACAGATGAGCCATAGTCACTAAAAAAAAACACACCGCGACCATAGTGCACCAGCGCGAATTTATTTTGATAACCCACAGCGTTTGAGCGTGCACTTGATGCTAAACAGAGGCGCATGCTATTCGCAAAAGTTCAGAGGCACCAAGCAGTTATAAAAAAGCGAAAAAGTATGAACCGATATCAATATGGAACATGAAAGAGGCAAGCAAGTGATCACGTTAGGCTGCGCTGGCCACTGAATTACCAAATACTTCGGGTCATGGTCAGTCACAGGGTTTAAACTCTCACACCACTAAACCGTCCTATGGACACAAAAGCACAGCGGAAGGTTGAACGGTCCGGTATGCTCGGCATTCCATCCCTTTACAAATTTTGTTTGTAGGACAGATGTATGCTGTGTCGTTACGTCGGACGTACCCGAATACTAAGCTAAAGGTACGTAGGACGTGCATGAAACCGGGAGTCTAAAGATACGTCGGGTGTACACGAATCCCAGAAGCTTACGGTACTGTACGTCAGATGCACCGGGAACCGCGAGCCTAAAGATACTTCGGCCGTCAGGATGTAGTGGGATGCACCAGTCGCAGGGTGGATCGCGGCTACTGCATACCAGTTTGCAAAATATTGACAAGGAACGATGACAACGGAAAACTCTGAGCACGTACCTCTAGCTTTTGGGATTCGGTTACGTCCAACGTACCTTTAGACACAGCCATAAACGTATACACACTGTATTGACTACACATAAACGCTGGGCCGGACTTACCACCCGAACGCCTGACTACGTCCCTGGAAACTGAACACCGATCACTGTCGGCACAGGCACAAGTTGTTCCTGATAAATCACTTTTCAATTGACACCGGAAAACGCTCCGTAATCGGTGAAGCTTGTAACCGAACGATGCCGTTTGACGAGCCACGGCGCGTGCCGGCAAACAGAACGAGCCACTACTTGCTTGTGCCTGCGTTTTGGCTCGTATCCACTGCGGGGGATTGACCATTAAACCGGCGATCAGTATAATGGGGATAAAAGAATTTCAGTCATTACGTTCGACGAGCGCGACAAGCACGTAACCTAGAACGTTAATCGTCATCACACAAGGCTCGCGCAATATTACTGACCCGAGATTGCTCCCCACAGTGCGAATAAAGTCCACCGACATTAGTTTATTTCTGGAAATTTAAGATTCTGGTAAACTGTGACGACATACATTTGAAAACGGACGCGCCTCACAACACCAAACCACAGAACACCTCCTCTAGAAAGATGCCTGAGGAATGGCTCGCGCTCCCAGCGGACTTGGCCCATAGGTACGGCTGAAGAAAATCGTGTAAGGTGTGTTAAATAAATTCGTTTTATGTATAAAAAACATACCAAATTTGGGCATATAATTATTATTTTGTAAAAACAATTTTGTTGCATTGATTATAACTGTTTTTTTTTTTGGGCAGCGTCTTCTGCACCGCGCGGCGCAGCAGCCAATCCCACACAAATTTGGCTTCTGCGCCGCACAAAAGTGACGTCACTTAAAAAGTTATTACCTAAAGCTAGTTAAATGTGTAAATTATTCGTGCGTATAGCGTTAAACCAACACAGTTTTCACTAAAAAATGTTTAACGAGTCAATTAGCTCAAGTTTGTTATTTAAGTACATATTACAAGTATTTTGAATACAGGGGGCGCCATGGGCCCTGCGGCTGCAAAAGGTAAACACTGCGAGATAGTAGCCGCCTGCGATATGTTGATGGTGAAAGTTCGGGTGAAATCGTGGCCATGGCCTAGGCCACTCCCAAGGAGGACTGGAGTGTCGTCGCTGCTTCATGTGATTGCTGGATGCTTAGTTGAACCTGGTGGTTGGAGCTAGCGCGGCCGTCCACCGCGCCGCAGCGTCATCTGAATGTGTGCGCCATAAAGTTTCTCAGTGTAATGTGCCGATTACAGTCGTTGGACGTACTGCATTTTCTAGATTGCAATGCCAAGCGTGGCGTTGTCAAAGGAGAAAGTGTTCTTGCTGCCGAGTTTTGCTTGTCGCGAAGGACAAGGTCGACGATGAAATAAATGCTGTCGCACGGTTCACGTGTGACTGACTGGACGCACATGCATGAAACCCCAGTGCGTCGGCGAAGTGTTTATACGATGGATGGAAACAACTTTATTGTAATGTTCTTGGGAAGCCTGTGATCTCCGAAGGCCAGAGCTACTGCATTGCCGTCTGTTTTGTCAAGTGCGAACACGTACGGCCGTTCTCATCCGTTGCTACGTGAATGCTCCCGTGCTGTCACAGGCCGCGCGTGTTTTTGAGCAACGCAGACAAGTAGTGAGATGGGCTAACGCCGTCGGCACTTGCCCTTGGGCATTGTTTATCAAGTGCTGATCGCCGAGAACATTGCGGTGACACGTCAGTATTTTTAAAGAAAGCGGCCTGCCGGTTACCTCGTCAGGTGATGGTACACTGAGCGACATAAAAAAGTTGCCCAAGACTACGTTGCAGTGAACCTTTCTGTCATCAAGACTTTGATAAACCGTGGAAATCAACATTCCTAACACCTGTGCTAAAGAAACCAATGCAGCCAGCTGCATTCGAGTTTTTGTGGCTTTTTGCGTCTCGCCAATTAAGAGCACTAATTCGCAAAACACTTTATCATAATAAATATAGTCAATCCTGCAAGCGTCATCGAAGATCCAATATTAACCCTTTGATGGATGATGGGACACATAGGTCCCACTTTTTGAGTTGTCGTTTTTTCGCTCTAAAATGCTTACACATGAATTAATATTCGAAATTTTTATATGGCGCCATCTATGAGACCTTGTGCAAAACACTCTATGCAGTTTTCTGTCCGTGTCATGAGGTGGAGCTGGAGGCGCTCCTGTTACATTTTGTTGTGTTCTTGTGCTCGTGTCTCGTCAGTTTGCGCCTGTTTTTGAAGCTAATTCAACGACAGATACATGTCTGGTAAGTGAAATATTCGCTTCTTGCACTACGGTATTGCTTTGAGAAATACAATTGCCTATAAAAGTTACCCTACGTTACGAAAAAACCTTTGCATGTATGAATCTCGTGTAACACGTGCGTTTTGGCGCCCGCAGGCTTAGGCTTATTGAGTCGAGTGCGTACACTGGCGTGATAATGGTGCTGAATCGGCTGATTTCCTTCTCCCACGCAGGAAAACAAAAATGCCTGAGCCCAGAGGAAGCTCTAGAACTGTTTTTCAGTTTACCGGACAATTGCAATGACAGTACAGATGAGTACTGCGAAAGTTCTGAAGACGAAGAGTTTGTGCTTGCCCCTCATGAAAGCAGCGAGGAGGACGACACTTTGCCGCCGCTACCAGGGCCGAGTACAAGCAAACGCAAAGGAATCCGACGCAAACACTACGTTGGAAAAAGAAAAAAACAAAAGAAATTGAAGAAGCCTTCCGAAGAGCTTGATGACAAGACTGTGGACAACCAGTGGGACTCATCCAAATTTGTTGCCACAACTCCTACAAATTGCAGTGCACTTGGATCTCAGAAGCTTTCGCAGAGAAGCACTGTACTTGAAACATTCTCTCTGTATTTTGATGACGATGTTATGAAGCATATTGTCGATCAAACCAACCTATACGCAGCACAAACAAACCGCGCAGGATGGACGGCACTGACATGTTTAGAGCTTCGTGCTTACATAGGACTGCTTGTTCTGATGAGCGTCAATCGCATGCACCACCTGCAAATGTATTGGTGCTCGGACAGCTTCTTTCATGTAAAGGAAATCGCGCAGGTGATGTACAAACGCTTCCAGCTCATAACAAACTGCCTTCACCTGAACAACAATGACCTCATGGCGGATTACGGCACAAAGGACTACGATCGGTCCTACAAAGTTCGACCTTTGATGGACATGATGAACGAGAGGTTTCTGGCTAACTACACGCCATCCAGTCATCTCGCTGTCGACGAGAGCATGATACTGTTCAAAGGGCGTTCGAGCATGAAACAGTACATGCCCATGAAGCCTAAAATCAAAAGGGGCTACAAAGTTTGGTCTCTCGCGGACTCCGAGACTGGTTATCTCCTGAAGTTCCAGCTCTACGAAGGAAAGAGCGCACACAAGCCAGATGACGTAACCTTGGGTGAACATGTTGTTTTGACCCTGACCGATGGCGCCGTGCCTGCTGGCTCACAGGTATTTTTTGATAATTTTTTTCGGTGTGTCTAAAGGTACGTCGGACGTACCCGAATACCAAAAGCTAAAGGTACGTCCGACGTACCCGAAACCGTGAGTCTAAAGATACGTCGGACGTACCCGATTACTAAAAGCTAAAGGTACGTCCGACGTACCCGAAACCGTGAGTCTAAAGATACGTCGGGGGTACGCGAAACTGAGTCTAAAAAAAAAAAAAAGATACGTCGGACGTACGCCGGGAGTTGCCGGGTGGGTCCACGGCTACCGCGTACCAATTTTTGCATATATACGAAGAAACGAGCCTTCGTGCGAGCCTGCTCACGTAAAAGACTGACAGGGAGCGAGTACTACCGGTGACAATGGAAAACTTAGAGCATCGCGTGGTTGACGAACGGCGTCGATGTCGGCGGTGCCGTTCTCTCCTAGCAGATCTTTTGAACGGAAAGGGGGAGGCTCGCACGTAAGTACAGAGGCTGATGTCCTTCCCTCGGCAGAGCAATTTTCGGGCAAAGAGTTCTGTGCGGTACTCTCGCGAACGCGGTTTTGTGTGATATGCGCCTATGTAGCCAGCTGAGTTTGCACGAAAACCATTCTGGGAGCCGACCTACTCGCTGACCTTTGAAACCGTAACTGCGACCGGCTCCCAAAAACTAACCAGCGCGCTTGAGTCCACGAGGTTTCCAGATGAGCGGGTCGTTAGCTAATTACTGCAGGGAAAAAAACAAGATGTAAGATTTTTAAATGCAAAGCATTTCTTAGCAAACCAAACGAATTTATTTATCTGGTTAGCCAAGTTAGATCACTAACTAGCTAGCCGCCTACGCCTGGGTGCTCTCATGATCTCCTCCTTAGCAGGTTGCAAAAACGAAAAAGACAGGCCAGATAGCATTTTAATGCTCTTATTATACATAGTTTTCACGTGACATCACAGACAGGTTCTCTGCACTGGGTGCTCCGAGATGGCGGCAACCGTGACTTTTTATGTCATTAGAGAGTACCATTGCAGAGGAGGACACACAGTTGTTCGGTCCCCGTGTTCTTTTGTGATGTCCCCACTTTCTTCTGTTCGCAAGGCGCGCTGTGGGGAATCAAAGGAACGCGAAGGGCACCGGCACAAATCCTATGTCACCGTTTGAGCTAACCCAGCATCTCAAAGTAGCTGGGGGCCCTAAGATGGCGGCCATGGTGACGTCAATGCAAACTATGTATACAATGAATGAATTCAGTGTTCACTGAAGGCACAACTAATGCAAGCTTTAATCAAAGGATCACAATTGTATGAAGAATAATAGGAACAAATACACAGACACACAATACATGTAAATGTCACTCGCATGAAACAGCACTAAGCTTTCTTCCATTTTTTATAAGCATGCCAGTGGGGCATACACTCAGCCATCTTTTGTTGTGCTTAAGCAAACCCTGCTTGCGAGCTCCCCTGCTTGCGTAGAAGCAAACCCTGCTTGCGTAGAAGCTTTGGAGCAATTCTGCTCATTTGTAGCATTAATGTAGTAGCTTTCACAAAACGTAGCAGGTTGGAGTAATTTTGCTCATTTGTAGCATGTATGGACCAGCTTTAACAAAATATAGCACGTAGGAGCAATTGCAGCAGGTTTCCCATCGCTGTGTTCCACTCACGGAGCAGCTCCTTTACATTTGGGCTGCTGCTACACACTTCGCACAAAACCAGGAACTATTCCTGTTGCGGCTGCTCAGTGAAGTACAGATTTGGTGGAACCAACACAAACATAAGTCACAAATCACAGAAGGGTCCTCTTCTAACAGGTCCCGACATTCGTTGCATTTCCACTTTATGGTTTGCTTCTTCACCTTGACTGTTGCCAGCACAGCTGTCCAGCCGTCTTCAGTGAAGTATTTCTGGACACAGTCAAGGTGAACTTCCTCGTCGAGGATTGTCTCTGGAATCCTGGAAGGTATGGTTTCCACCTGGTCCTCACCTGTAAAAATTACTGAATAAGTGTTCTGAACCTGCCATCAGATGGCTTTAAGGTACAACAGAATGCTATGAATCTGAACAAGGGGAACTTATTTCTAGGGCTCAGGTTTATTTTGTGAATTGAACACTCAATATTCTTACAGAATGTAGCTGTAGTTGCAGCCCTATAGGTGATATCAGACACCTTCGTACTACACCTTAGATAGCGACTGAAGTTGCAACAAAATAGGAAATTTAAGCATAAATAAAGGTAAATCTCACAACTCACCGAGTAGCAGTTTCCCCTGCTGAACCTCACTTAGCAGGCCCTGAGGAACTAAGCAACTTAGGATCCTGAGCTCCTTTTCCTGAGGAGGCAGATCGCGAAATGGCTGCAGTGTTGCTGCTGATTTGTGGGGTCCCTGCCGCCGTCGTGGAAGCCCAATAACGGTTTTCTCCGCCCCTTTGGGTCGACCTCGTGACTTCACCTTAGCGGGCACTTTCAGCTTTCCGAGGCGTTCGCGCATGTAGTCTGAAGGCCCGGCGCTGCTTGCAGGGGCCAAGGTATTCTCGCGTGGCTGTGCCTTTCTCACTTCATCAGGAGTTTCGCATGCACCTGCATTATGGGCACGCTGCTCTTTCTCAGGAGTGGTATGAAGTGGTTCTGCCCCGGTATGGCTTAAAGGTGCTTGAGGCAGATCTGGTTGATCATGTGAATTATTCTGATCTGCAGTTTCAGACGTGTCCCAATCCTCACCTGATGCAGCTTTGGGTGACTCTGCATTCTCTTCTACGGACACAGTCAGCTCCAGCTGGCGTCTGACTTGCTCTGGTGATGAAGGGGATGAGGCTTCATGACGCAACACTTCCACGATTTCAATTTCGCGCCCTTGCTCCCATGCCTCAGAGAGTGCCAACAAAACTTTTAGACGGCCCTGGTATCTTTCACCTGTTTCTTCTGCAGCAAGTTGAGCTATGTACTTGCATGTAGGAAATACCTCCCTGTATTTCTCATGCTGCGACATTGGCCTCCGAGGTTTTGCAGCCTGCTCCGAAATGGAATGTTCAGTTGTGCACTTCTCTTGAGAAAGGAAGGCTCTCTGATGACAGTAGTAATATGCCTTGGACCACCTTTTTAGAAAAAGTTTGTCATCAAAGAGACTAATGTTCAGAGTCCGCCTAACTGCAAACACATGCCGGCATGGCAGTCTCATAGCGTTCCAAAAGGAACAATTGCAGTTAGTTTTTGTTGTTGACGTGTTGCCAGACGACGCCTCGAATGTGAACACATCTGCTTTTTGGTCACTTGGTACTCGCTTGGCTGACAGGTAGATCTGCTCCCTTACAAGCTTAAAGGCATAGGGAGTCAATGATTCCTGATACATAGCTTCTTCAGGGCTAGAAGGTGCTTTGCAAGGTCTTTTGGATATGCTTGTCAATGCTCTGTGGTCACGTTCATCGCTCAAGGCGTTCAATACTGTGAAAAGTGAGCACACAAACTCTTCAAGGGAGCTATTCTTTTTTATAACACTTTTCAGTTTTGCGTTCAGACTTTCAATTCTGTTGTTGGTAGTGTTGTTAAAGTTTTCAGACATAAACTTGGGTCCAGTGTACCACTCATCCTTGATGGGACGCCAGTTTTTGTCATAGTAAGAGCGGATCTCTTGGCAAACATTATTGTCAAATTCCAGTTGAAGCTCCTCAAATTTTTCACTCGATCGTGACAGGACCATCTTCTGGAGCAGTGCCAGGGCTTGGTCCCTTTCCTCTGCAGTGATGTTCATCTTGTTGCAGGCAATCTCGCGTCGAAAAGTCTTTAAAGTGTGGAACACACAGATGAGCACCTTCGACTGCGGGAAGCTTTCTTTGAGAAGGTCACGCTCCAAAAGGTCCTTGTCTGCCATGACACACTTTACTTTTGGCCAAGATGGGTGCAGTTCCTTGAACTTTTCCAACATCCATTTGATAGTGGGTGCAGACTCATTCACAAGAATTGCAACACATACTGTCTCTGTGTCTCCATTGGAGTCTTCAACGTGCATCACATAGACTGGTGTTCGTATTTCTAGAAGCTTGTAGGTGGCATCAATTCCTAGGAATTCTGGGTAGGCATCCATATTTGACCGCATAGACTCATTGGACAGCAAAATTCCTTGGAAGTTTTCCCCATCAGCAAGGATGTGGTAGTCTGTACCTGTAGAAATAAATTTCATGGTCTAAATGTAAAAGATTTGGCCGACTGTACATACGAGTTTCTCTGAAGCCCACTGGAAAACCCAGATGCAATTATTTAAAAACTTGTGCTACAATATCAGGTGCTTACCATGCTCATTTTGCAGAAGAGCTGCAGTCTTAATGAGGTCATTCCTTGTCTGTGGTCTGAGGGAAGAGGCCGCATTGCTCAAGTCTTTGAGCAGGACAAGTTTCCCCGTCTTTTCTTCTATCCTTTTCTTAACCAACTTCTTGTTGGCATGCAAAGCCAAGAGCTGTGTGGCTTCCTCCTTGGCCCCTGGTTCTCTTAATGCTCTGGTTTGTGGCAGGTGGCTGTAGAGTAACTGCAATAAAATAAACTTTTCATTCAATGTTAAACTGAACTACATATGCAATTATAGGTTAACTGCATTATGCAATGTCAAGCTCACAGAGTGAAGCAAACAAGTGCAGACAACATTCTGCATATATGGCATCTAGGTTCTTAGCACAAGCAAGCTCACTTCAATCTCACCTTATCATGCTTGTAACTGTAAATCTGTGTTTCCTATATATGGCTCGCATGTGATGTCAAGGACACAGTTCCTGAATGTAGTAGCACTGTAGAATGGCGGCTTTGATGACAAGCAAGTTGCAGTTAATCTGCCTCAATGTAATAATGATGCAGCAGGAATTCCTCTGAGTGTGAATAAGAAATGAACCTGCATGTACTGCTTTGATCCCATTAATTTGACATCGCAAAACTTCGCATCCCCTGTGCTGGTGCTACCAGCTCAATGAGAATTGAGCGAGAACATTTTGCGCGATCAAGTAAGCACGTCAAACATTTCGTCAAAAGTATATTTCAGTGGTGCATGTCACCCTGTATAACCTCAAAACTCAGGTTTGTTTCTGTGAAAAAACAGAACTGAACTTCACTAACCAATATGAACAGGTAACAGCAAAAGCTGTATTGGCTTAATTTAACAACACATGGTGAGGGATGAAGGACAGGGCATTAAGATACTGTCGCACACTTTTAAGGATGCTTAGGAACTCCATACCTTCGATAACTCATGGTTGTGGTCCTCATTCATTTCAATAACCTCCAGGAAGTTCCCATCGTCAGAGGCCCTGCACTTCACGAACGCCGGACATCCAGCCTGAAAGGTGCTGAAAGTGATCCGTTGTCACATGCTCAATGTCTCTCAGGAAACAATCGTCTAAATGCATGATGTGTACAACGCAACCACGTCGCTGACCATGGTGGATTGGCAGCACAGAAAGAAACACAAAGGAAACAATGACCAGTGCTGGCCCTCACCTGGTATCTCTTTCCCCCTTGCTGCGGCTCTTGAAAGACTTGCCCCCCTTGATACAGCAGTAAACCACCTGATACATTCCAAGTCGTTCGTTCAGAAAACGCTTCACTTTGGTCTTCGCCGCTGTGACAGTTCGACAGTCACGTTTGTAAAACTGCACGAACTTCTCTTCACTGTATCCTTTCACAGCAGCTTCCAGTTCCCTGAACGTTGGAAATTTGTCCCCAACTTTCATTTTGCTGCCAGCCATCACACGAGCTGCGGAACGGGAACACTTGACTGGCGCCGCACGTGCTGCGGAACGGTCACCACAGAACACCTGTAACACGCTGACTGAAGAGACGGGAGAATGGCGCCACACAAGTAGGACGGATAAGACTATGGATAAGACAGACTCACAGAACACCTGACAGACTCGGACGGACTCCAAGAACTGGATTGGAATGGATTGATTTGTACTACTTGCATCGAAATCGACCCGATGGCGAAAACTTTTTTTTTTTCCTAATCAAGCGATATAATAGCTGCGTGTAAACCACGGAGGAATAAACATTTCCGTGGTATAAACCAAGCTTGAGTAGGCGAGAAAGTGCAACCCGTGCAACGTCTGATGTAACCGGTGCAACGTCTGCGCGTCCAACTACAAACTCGTTGACGAAAACTTTTTTTTTCTCGGATCCGCGCGTCTAAGAGGTCAGTCGTGCGAACTGCTTGAAAACGACGGACGGGCAGGTGGAACTTGAGTCGCTTGAGTGAAAACTTGCGAGAAAGCGCACGTCGGACGTACCTTTAGCTTTTAGTATTCTGGTACGTCCGAAGTATCTTTAGACTCACGGTTTCGGGTACGTCGGACGTACCTTTAGCTTTTGGTATTCGGGTACGTCCGACGTACCTTTAGACACAGCGAATTTTTTTAGCTCTACGAAATTACTTCAAGTGCTTCGGGAAAAAGACATTCTTGCTTGTGGTACATTTCGCGTCAACAAGAGGGATCTACCTCAAGTAGTCAAAGAAAATAACAAGCTCGAGAGAGGGTCCTACATTTGGAGAAGAAAGGCAGAGGTGGTCGCCTATCAATGGAGAGACTCAAAGAATGTGCACCTTATGTCAAACTACCATGACCCAGAAGACCGTGTGCAGGTGCATCGAACACTCCAAAATGGCAAGAAAATGGCAGTTGAGTGCCCCTCTGTTGTGAAAGACTACAACACGTGGATGGGAGGTGTCGATAAATTCGACCAGAAGAGAAACGCCTACCCCGCAGACCGCCGATCAAAGCGCTGGTGGAGCCGCATATTTTACTTCATGTTGGATGCAGCGGTAGTGAATGCTTTTATTCAAATGAGTTTTATAGAGCCTGTGGTTTATCTGCAGTTCCGCTTGATACTTGGTCGCCAACTGGTTGCGCAAAACACCTTTAGAAGATCAAGCGTTACAATGAAAGCTCACCACAACAAAAAGGGGAAAAAAACGGACGTGCTATGAGCGGCGTGCCCGACGAGCTTCGGTTTGCCGGAAATGGCCACCATCCGAAGTTCACCGGTAAACGTCTGCGGTGCCGGTGGTGCTCCACACAGATGAAAGAAGTTCGCAGCAAATACATCTGCATAATGTGCAATGTGCCCCTTTGTGTTGCGTGTTTCGGCCCGTTTCACTGCCGACCATGATTTGCCTGAAGTGGATGGTGGGACATACCCGGTCCCACTTTGTGAATCTGCTGGATGTGGTCTGTGGGACATACCCTGTCCCACTTTTTTCTTTTTTTGTGAATGGTGATTTTAATTCCTGGTTTGTTTTTTGTCTAATAAAATCACGTCAGAAAAGCATGCGCTAAAAGAAAATATTGCCTACTTCTTTTATTTTGCCGTGTCCAACAAAGGGTTAAAGGGCCTGTGGACGGGACCACCACCAGCAGCAAGTTGGGCTGATGAGGAGGCGCAAATGTTAAAACAATACATGCGTGAACAAAAAAAAGAAAGTATCGATAACTGCAGTGGGACTTGAACCACCGACCTCACCAGTTTATCTGTTTCCTTTAACCAACTACGCCACAGCTGCCGATCGGTTTGAAGTGACAAACAAGCCTGTTTTGTATTGTTGTCACGCGAAACCTAAATAACGTTTTTGTTAACTTTTTCGTTTGGACATAATTTTAACAGCTTTTATTGTTATGTCTAGACGTACCGCTAGACACTCCCGACTATTGAAACAAAGCGCCTAACCGGAAAATGTAACACGTCACTTCCGTGCGGTGCAGCAGCCGTTTCTGTGTGGGGCAGGCGCGCGGTGCACAAGCCACCCCCACACAGAAACGGCTGCGGCGCCGCACCAAAGTGACGTGTTGCATTTTCCGGTTAAGCGCTTTGTTTGAATAGTCGGGAGTGTCTAGCGGTACGTTTAGACATAACAATAAAAGCCGTTAAAATTACGTCCAAACGAAAAAAGTGAACAAAAATGTTATTTAGGTTTCGCGTGACAACAATACAAAACAGGCTTGCTTGTCTTCTCAAACCGATCGGCAGCTGTGGCGTAGTCATTCTTTCGCCGGCACTCGCACGCGTCGGACGCAGGAATAATGGGCTCCCGCGGAGCGGCAAAGGTGGTCCTTGGTGGCCGCGGAAACAGGATTACAGACGAAAGTGACAAGGATTATGAGATCATCTTGCCGAATTTGCCAACAGGACGTATTGTTGTGAACACAGTGTTTTTGCACGGTGATATTCGAGTGAGGCCTTTCAAGGTCGAAGATTTCCGAGACGCCCTGGACAAGGAACGACTGCTTCCCGACGTAATTGCATTGGGCGCCTACCAGATCAACCATGTGTGGGCCGTCACCTTTAACAGCCAGGAGGCGACGAAGAGGTTGACTGAACTGAAAGAACTCCAGGTCAAGGGACGCCGCTGCCTCGTTATCGACCCTCAGGAGCAGAAGGTGACGCTGCGGCTTCACTGGCTGTTACACGGCGTTTCGAACAAAGATGTCCGCACGGCGTTGGCAGCGTTCGGGAAAGTTACAGAAGTGACCCGGGAGTGCTGGCGTGTGGAAGGAGTAAATGAGAAGAATTCGACGACCCGCACTGTTTTCATTAAGCTGAAAAGCGGTATGAAAGTCGAGGACCTGCCTCATCAGATACGAGTCGCCGGTGAATTAGCCTTAGTGGTAGCCCCAGGTTGGCCTATGCAATGCCTGCGTTGCAGCGGAACAGGACATGTGCGTCGCGAGTGTAAGGTGCCTCGGTGCTCGCGCTGCCGGCGTTTCGGGCATGGGGACGCGGAATGCGTCCGTTCGTATGCCGCAGTGACCGCGTCAGCGGAGGCCGAAGATGCGTCAGAACACATTATGGACGTGACAGAAGCAGAGGACGCGGCTGAAGGTTGCGGAGATCAAGTCGCAGAAAATTTGAACTGCACATCTGCAACATCAGTAGACGAATCTACACCGGCACCTGTTGACACTCGACCAGGTTCTGCAGCTGTATCGACCGATACAGCTGATAATGCAGTGACAGACGCAGGCTGTGAAGTAGTCGGAGCCATGACCTACTACACTCCTGACCTGTTCAGATAGCGGGGTTCCTATGGGAGCGCGTGTCCCCGCTCTCGTTCAATCGCTCGCCGTAGGTGGCGCTACCTATAACCTGTTCGTCTGCTACTGTGCGGCCGGCAGGAGGGCGACGGACTGATACCATGCGTCTGCTTCTGTGACAAACTGCCTATACGTGTGATTGTTTTTTGCTGAAAAGGCTAACGTGTGCTATGTGTTACATTTTAGTAGTTAGGCTATACTGGTTGATTGACTTCTAAAGCTGTATATTTGCGTAGAAATGTCTTGCTGCATGGTTGTTTTTGCCATTCCAGCCTAAAAAACTTCAATTTAGTATTCATAAAGCTTTTGACTAATAATGTACTCATTGGTAATAGAATATCAAACTGATTTTAGGTTGTTTAGGACGCGTCAGGTGAAACGCAGTGCCCCTGTTGAGCACTTACCTTGGACACTCGCCCTGGACAGGTGTTACACTTGTAGTCAATTGATAGAAGAGAATAATGCACATACGCCCACGGACGCATATCAAGGAGAGACA